CAGGGCCACCACAGGACCCCCTCCTCACCCACCCTCCCCCAAATTGTCCCCCCCAAACTCACCCCACGGTGCCTGTCCGCTCCTCTTGGCAAGCGCTGGCCACCGTGGGGTGGAAGGCGGGGCGGGCGTGCAGGGCGGCCTCCTTCCGAAAACACTGGTGGGGGGACAAAGAAGGGGGGACACCGGTGTGACCACAGGGCTCAGCGGGGCCACCCCCGGGCCGGGGGGTGTGTGTCCCCCTCCTGCTCACCGGGGGGAGGTCAGCGATGACCCTGTCCCTGCGGACCGGAGCCAGCACGTTCATCGTCGGGGGGGGGCTGGGTGGCCGGGGGGAGCGGGGACGAGCCGAGAGCCACCGCGAGGCCTGGGGACAGAGGGAGGAGGGAGAGGTGATGTCCCCAGCTGTCCCCACGCACAGCATCCCGGAATACGGCTGTCCTGGTGTCCCCAAACGTGGCTGTCCCTGTGTACCAGTCACCCCAATGTCCCCAAATGTGGCTGTCCCCACAGCCTGGGGTGCAACTGTCCCCGTGTCCCAGCTGTCCCTGTATCCCAACCATCCCGATGTCCCCAAATGTGGCTGTCCCCACACCCTGGGGTGCAACTGTCCCCATGTCCCAGCCATCCCGAGGTCCCAGACACCCCGATGTCCCCAAATGTGGCTGTCCCCACAGCCTGGGGTGCAACTGTCCCAGCTGTCCCGATGTCCCAGACATCCCAATGTCCCCAGACCCACCCAGACCCACGGGTGCAACTGTCCCCGTGTCCCAGCCGTCCCGAGGTCCCCCAAATGTGGCTGTCCCCTTGTCCCAACTATCCCCACATCCCTGCATGTGGCATCCCCAGGGTGTGGCTGTCCCCACGTCCCCAGACGCTGCCACATCCCTGCACCCCGGGGTGCCCACTGTCCCCGTGTCCCAGCTGTCCCCACGTCCCCGAGTGTGGCATCCCAGCGCATGGCTGTTCCCCATGTCCCCCTGGTCCCCGAGTGTGGATGTCCCCAAGTCCCACCCGTCCCCATCTCCCACTCATCCCC